TTTAGGACGGGTTAAGTAACAGCGAAAATATGGCTAATGAAAAACACGGTGCACGTAAGTGGCAGAAACGTAGATCTGCATACAGTACGTGCATGTGAGCATATGTGTTTATATATTGGACATTCCATTTTAATTAATTTGATTAATGTTCACAACTTCAAAAATAATAAACAGCTGCCCATCTATACTCATGCAGAGGCTGTGGTTTCAGGCAATACAAAAAAACTTACTACGCTGGTGCAGTTCGTTATTGTCCTTACATTTTGACTTAAAACTTTCGTGACAGCAGGAATTGATATTATTTGGTTCTTTCGGTAAAGTCACGTAGATAGAAGAAATAATAATACTGGTAGGAACGAAGTTGTAAACTGAGTGTACCAGCCTGCAATAGATTAATGTGTCCGTCCGTCCCCTTTCAATACTTTAACGAAGTGAAATCTCGTGCTGTTGGGTGTAAAATCAGCAATAGACAGCGCAGAGACTTGATATGTCTTATTGCACCCAACATTTGGAAGTCACATTATCTCATTTGCGAACTTCTACCAGCCCACCCTGCAGGGACCTGTTAAAAATTAAGTGAATACAATTTATATATTTTTTATTTTATTTTTTTATATATACGTGACTACAGATATTTATATTTTTTTATTCACTTTCTTTTTTATTATATTTTTTTTCTATTTACGTGACTTTACCGAAAGAACCAAATAATATAATTGTCATAACTTTTCATTTTTTTCATATTGCCATTGACTGTGGATACAATGTTGTGCATATAACCTAGGGGAGGATGTGAGCCTTCAATGCCACCTGATTCCATTTTGAAAATGGTATGCAATCGTTTTTATTTACATTAATATAAAACTAATTAATTACGGTTGCTGTGCACAGGCCGGACATGCCAAACGGACAGACAATATAAATGCTATTGAAGGTGTAATAGACACGATTTACAGTAATCCGTTTCTTGAATTGAGCGAGATTGTGAGAACTTATCCGTTGAGAGATTCGTGGAGTGTAGGTGTTAGTGGCACACCCACAATGATCTTCACAAATAATGTTTTACTAGTGCGACAAGAGGCTAATGGATCAGAGGGACAAAACTGAAAATTACACCATAATATGTGTAACTATGATCAAATGATGACATAAAGAGGTAGAGGAGAACAGGTTAACGTTCTTTTGTAAAAAAATATATATAATGCAGAGCAACATATCGTTGTGCTGAATAAAAAACGTGAATTGTTATACAGGTAGTCCCCGACTTACGATGGTCCGACTTACGATATTTCGATCTTACGATGGCGATAGCGATATGACAAAATTGTAAAATATTTTTTTTATTTCGCGCGGCAGGCAAACGCAGCAGCGTACTACGAGGTACGATACTGTAACTTTATCATCGCCATCCTCCTCTTCCGACAACTAAGTTAATGTAGCCATCAACAACCTAACATCGTTCAAGTATGCAGACGACGGACAGAATCTTGGCGAGTACAGTACGATATGATGCGTTACGATACGTTCAATGCATGTATGATACGTAGCTTTAGCGATTTCATTTTAGGGTTACCACGATACGATACATATGTTCAATGCATGTTAAAAAAAAAAAAATTATAGCAGATAGGATTGTTTCCTGAAAAAAACTTTCTATGAAATTGCAGTTCATATAGGTAGGCTAAGAATTTACCTTGTGTTTTTTTACTTTACATTTTACTGTGCAATACAGTATTGTAAATAATTAATACATACACTATATAGTTTATACAGTACGGTACTGTAAATTGCTCTGTTTAGCTATTTTCGACTTACGATATTTTCGACTTACGATGGGGTCGTCGTAACGCATCTCCATCGTAAGTCGGGGACTACCTGTATATAATCTGCTACTGCATACGGTCGGAAAACACATCTAAAAAGTGTCCAAATAAATCATGGCGAGTTGCATGCATAGACTTACACTGAGATACCAAAAAGTTAAGAAATCATATATACTTTGATTTAAAGCTTTCGTGACTGCAGTAATTCATATTCTTAGCTCTTTCGGTAAAGTCACGTTGAAGGGAAACAATAAAATAATAAAGTAAATATTATTTTATTATTTCCCTTCAACGTGACTTTACCGAAAGAGCTAAGAATATCATATATACTGTTAATAAATGTGGCCTCTGGCAGGACGCGTCGCTGGAAGGGATTAAGGCCGAAAGCTGAGTTTCATAATGGAATGGTAGCCAAAGGAGAGAACAGACAGCGTGGATGTCCACTTTGGAAATTGGGAAAATGAAATGCGCTCATGTGGACAGGTACAAGACGGATGTTACATTGCAGAATTATGAGAGATGGGCTGGCTGAGAGAGGCATTCATCCAGCAGTGGATTGGTCATAGCTATTAATAAACAGGTCTCTGCAGGGTGGGCTGGTAGGAACATTGGAATTTTTGCGCAATTTTATGACATTGTTACTTCCAAATGTTGGGTGCAATAAGACATATCAAGTCTCTGCGCTGTCTATTGCTGATTTTACACCCAACAGCACGAGATTTCACTTCGTTAAAGTATTGAAAGGGGACGGACGGACGGACACATTAATCTATTGCAGGCTGGTACACTCAGTTTACAACTTCGTTCCTACCAGTATAAAGAGGAGGCTGTGATGGGTGCTGCATGTGTGTGTGTGTACAATGCAGGAGGGCAAGTTGCTAAGACAAGCATTGGAAGAAAACTCAGAAGCAAGTGAGCAGAGGGAAGACCTAAAGTGATATGTACGAAGCCGGAAGAGAACATCTTGGTGTTTGGCTATTGAATGTGAAACAGTTGCAAGATCTGGCAGATGGAAGGACACAATCACAATACGTCAACAGCATTGGCCGAGCAATGCTATTGAACTTGGACGAAATGTGGTTGACTGTACACGTGCGTTTTTCTTTTGCCCGCTATTTACACACGTATATTCTGCACTCTGTGTGCATGTGTGTCTGTCTGTCCGTCTCGCTCCATGTCTCTTTCGATACAATTGAAATCAATCTCATGTGTGGCGACCGCACAGCGACCCCCAAATGAAGGAGGGGTTTTTTGCAATTTGTACATGTGCACGTTGAGAACTATTTCAGCAGCTCGCCGATAGTCAGGCGACCACACGTGTGCGGATTACTCAAGCGCTATCACACTGGCAAAGTGCTCTTGAACCCACATTGACCTCACAACCAATACTGTACTGCTACAGTCAGCGGTGTCCCCTATGTTACAGCTTGCTTTTGATGGCCAACTTTGGCAGGCTTCCTTGAGGGGTGAGGGGGCAGGGTGGTTGAGGTGATAACCTTATTTGATTAAGGGACTTTGCTAATAAATATCAGGGTGTATTCACTGCAAGGGCTTTGGGGGGGGAAGGCTGGAGTTGAGGGCGCTTTATCACTGGCCTGCATCATCCTCATGATCATGATCCATGGGCAGATAGCCCGTAGGTGTCCACTGCACATTTCGTAATTTGTTTCCACTTTCGTCTGTCTTGTGCCAATATGCTCAAGTAGAGCACATCTATCTGGCACCAATGTCTGTTGCCGTCTGGCCTGCATAGAGAGGGGGAACTCACGTTTGTCATGACAATTCCCAGACTACGCGCACTACTCTCAGCCACGGCTACTTAATCGCGGATAAGCCTGACACCATCTCCCAAACGAATTCTACATGAAGAGTTGACAACCGATATGCTTTGAAGGCTCCTCTTCACCATCACACAGCTCAGGGGACGGACTGAGGCCGTACAGAGACTTCTCCATAACAGCAACACTCATGGGGCAGAGATCACCGTATGTGACAGGTCCGCCATCATGAGGGCGCAATACATCCCTCTACCTCAGGGGCCAGGCTACAAGCGGGGGGGGGGGGGGCACTTACAGGGCCTTCCTTGCTGGGGCTTCAAGTTTTGGGAACTCCGGGATCTGACTGTCCACCCAACACACAATACTGGTCACCGATCCTGGGTTGCTATTGCCACGGGTGGTAGCATGGTGATGAGCTACCTCTGCCCATCCTGGATGTTATCTCACGACCGCAAAATCCAGCTGCATCGCCTCGCGGATGGTCTTGGATTGTACCCGTGGGATATTCTGCCACAATAAAGGAGCACCTCCCTGTGAATCGCGACCTCACGGCGGTTGAATCCTCAGTGCCTGCGGAGTCTCGCCTGGAGACCAGCGCAACAACAGCTGCTCCTGTACGAGGGACATCAGCCCTGGAACGCGAGCACATCCCCTGATATGGAACCATGGAGGTATTTGACCTCCCTGGCTGCTCTCTGCCTTCCCCCTTTTGGATGCCAAGTTGGGAGTGGGAGTGTGGGATGGCACTGCTCACCGCCTATAGTTTCTCAATTCAGCACATTTTTTCGGGTGATTTTGGACTAGAGCTAATCAGTTATCATGTATCTCTTCATGCGTAGACACAGGTAAGAATCGTACATATCCACAGGAGATTAGCGACCAATTCCTTGATTTTTACTTGAAGCTGTATAAGACGAATTCTTCCAGTTAGGAATCCATAAGTTATGAGGTGGACTGGTAGCTCAGAGGTGAGAGTGTGTGAGCTGAGATCCTAGGTTGGAATTCGGAGTAGCTACCTGCAATTGATTAAACCAGGTCGTCAAGTATAGTGAGTTCATGGTCTCAGTCCAGTCACCAATAACTGCACAAATAACCATCACGTAAAATTTGGCTCTGCACTTTAATGTGGCCAAATTCCAGCTGTGAGACTTAAAACATGGGTTTGACTGTGACGTGACAAACCTCACTCTCATATTCGAAGCACGTGGGAAGTGCTGCCCCCTACTGTGATTGGACCGAGGGGTCACTTGAGAAGGGATATCAGCGATCACAGACGAGCAGAGTTGGCCCCGGGCAACACCGGTGATGCTTGAAGAGCCTGCATGTCCACACTTCCTCCAATCGTTTCTCACAGCCAAACAGACGCAGAGACAACAATGAAAAGATATCCCATCGCATAGTGTTTTGTACATCAGGAGCACTGATCTGGTTTATTAATAGCATCATTATTACTGTATTATGATTACCATTCTTACAACTACAAGTTAATGATACTGGCGATCCGTACAGGACTATGCATGTATAAATTAAAGAACAAAATACTGTATGTAATGTGTTGTGGTTATCCATGGAGGCATATGGTGCTGTTTAGTATGAAAGGGCTTCGAAACAAAGCGAACTAAGTGGTTCTAGGCTCACCGCCTCGCTGGAGAGAGGAATCTCGCCGACGCGGCACATTTCCTCCGAATTCACCCGCACGGTCCTCTAGACACGAGGCTTCAATCCGTTCCTTTGGTGTCCTTTCACTCATAACTTAATAGAATGTGCAATAATCTCAAATACCACTTTTTAAAACATTATTAAAGACAAAAAAAACCTAAAACATTTGGCAGCTTATATATAGTGACCGTCATCGTCAAAGCCATGAGTGCAAATCACAAACGTTTAACGTTACAATAAGGTACAATCTTTTCACTTGCATTCAAGCAAAAGACCATTTCAAGTATTTTCCATGTTGTATATAAAATAATTACATACATACAGCAATAATCTCTTATAACATGGTTTAGACGGCAGGTCTCCACAGCACTAATACCTCACCGAGAGTTCAGACCTTTTTCGGATTTCTTTTTAAGTGCACGAGTGACACGTTCGGCAGTAATGGTGGGGTGGTCTTTTCAGTCCGAGCCAGATTTCAAAGCCCCAATTCATGAACCCATTCACCTCATCCGTCACATTTTGTCTGTCCTTTTCCAACATATTTTGATTTTCGTTAGTCACCATTTCCACTCCTCCATCGCCCACCGAATTATTAATTCCATAAAAGCCACCCAAGTCACAACCATCACTTTCCATCCATCCCACCGACGCATACAACCTCCATGACAACCCGCATCTTTTGGCAGCATTGCTCCGGAACGGAAAGACGCGCTTACACGTACGGCACAGTACAGTCGTGCGGCAAAAATAAGTGCATCTGCACATAGGGAAGCGGACAGCGCTGTCCAGTTGAAGAGCATTTACAGGCAACAGTGCTGAATATAAATAAGTAAAAGTCGAATGCATTGGGACCTTGCAAGTGTCAACGTGCAGCGCCTTGATGGAGTAACATAGGACGTCTGTGGTCAGCAGGGCTAGTTTGCAGGGAGAGGGGTTGACTATGGAGTGGACATGAGTTATAGTCAGTGGCGTATCCAGATATTATGAAACAGGCCCAGCATATGCCACTTCCATATGGTGCTCAGCACCATCGCAATACCATGAACACGAGGTGTTTCCCACGTAGACGGGCAAATAGGGAGACACAACGTAAATCAGAGGGGATGCACAACTGCCTCTACGACTCCGCCCACCTTCCTCCAACTCTGTTTATGGATAGCCCACTGGACAAAGGGGTTTATGTTTGTCGCGACTCGCAGGAGAGAAGGGTCAGACACAGCCGCACTCTTCTACAATCATGTTGGGCACGTCCTTCTTCACAATGTTCTGGTCTTCGTCGAAGTAGAGCATGGACATCGCACTCAAGCGGGTCGGGATACAACAGGAGGTCACTGAATTGACCTGGTTGGCATCGCGCAAACGGCTGATGACAGCGCTGTGGAACGAAGCCGCCGTTCCCAGGGTCCCCGCCATGTATGCCGGGCACTGCCCTTCGCAGAAGTTCCCGTAGTAGCCGGGCGGCGCGATAATCCAGTCGTTCCAACCGATGCTGCGGAAGTCGATGTAGAACTGCTTGCGGCAGCAAAGCGACGTCCTGCCGTCGCACTCGAGGCCACGCTTGTGCAGCTGGCGCTTGTTGCGCACCTCCCGAGCCTTCATCACCAGGAAGGGCCTCTGTGCGTCGTTGGCGCCGTCCGGGAGCGCGGGAACGACGCCCGCCGTCACGCACTCGGGGCACGACACTCGCAGGGAAACTCGCCGCAGGCCCCCGTCCAGCGCCGCCTGCACGGCTTCCGTCACCGGCAGACGGTGCCAGCTGCTGCGGTGCAGCGTCAAGCGCTTCTCCAGCGGCACCCAGCTGCCCAGAAGGGCGCCGCGATGCATGAGGCCGAGCGTCACCGATACTCGGCGCCTCGGCTCGGACAGCCGCAGGTGCAGCCACAGCACGGCGTTGGTCACGTGGAGGCGGCGGCCCATCTCGCTCGCCAGGTGGAATTGCAGCTCCGACGGAGAGTCGCCATCTGCGTGCGTGCGTTTGTACGGGGAGCGGCGGCAAACTTGGGGTTAACGCGTCGCGGTGTAACCTGCGACAACGCGAGCGGCGGTCGCAGTCGCATGCAATGTCAGTGGGCAAATGGTGCTTGCCTTAAATCAACAGCTGGGGCAATGGGCTGCGAGCAACAGTCCGTTGTGTACTGTTACAGCCTTGATAGGTGTTCAATGATGGCAACTTGCTCTGAGAGATTTTAGGACTAATTGCAGGCTAAACACCCAGGCGATGCTGCTGTATACTTTCTACAGGGTGGTTCATATCGTGTTTGTTATTGCCCCACCAAAACGATTACAGTTCCTCCTTCGGAGCTGAGTTCAACAAAATTTATTGAGATCCAAATGCAAAACGATAGAGGTTTCTCGGGAAAACAAAAAAAAATCACCTGATGAGATGTTGCCAACACTTCATTAAAACTGGTATAATGAATGGTAACTGGATCTCAGATGTGTGCCCTGAATCTCAGCACTGCTGGCTCGGTATCTCTGACACACACACATTGCATTGCAAGGCTCTTAAGCCACCTGATCCCTCAACATTTTATATCAAGCAACGCAGACTTGCTTGCTGTGCAGCATTCCTTGGCTGATGGCGTGGAACGAGCAATGTGCTCAAATAATACGCTTAATGCTAGCATGGCGAGGGGGGGGGGGAGTCACACATTCTTATAATGCGACATTATTGGGGTTATAACACACACCTATGAAGATATCGCAGAACTTCAGTCAGCTCTACAGCAATGTGTTTTACATGCCAATTATTCAGCAACACCCTACGGTAACGCACCCATTTGTGTCACATCAGAATCTGCTGAGGAGAGTATTAGTCCAGGCTGTGTTAAATAGTCAGAATCAAGTCAAAGTGTGTTCCTCGTCCAGGGGTCGGCAACCAAAACAACAAGAAGAGACATTTTTTTCGAATTCAGTCAAAAAAAATATAATATTGCAGGGGCCGCAATGCGATGTGAATACGAGGTGGTCCTTAATAAGTAACGTCGCAAAGCAGTCCTCAATGAGCCGCATGGAGCCACAGGGTGCCGACCCCTGTCATCGTCGAACAAGCGTTGTGTGGTGGTTATGTGCGATGCTGGACCCAAGCCAGTGGACCAAATTCCACGGTCCAATTGCAGGATAAGCCCTAGTTGAATTCCCACAAAGTGGTACTTATTTATCTGCCCTATCAGATTGATGTGCTATTTCATACATTATGTTCTCCAAGTCAGCGGATATTTCTAGCTTCTGGAGATGTTTCTTATTAAGAGCACAAAATGTTATCTGGCATGCCACCTTATGCCACTTTTATCATGGAGTGTCTTTGGTCTCATGCATCATGCAGTGAATCCATAGAAAATGTAATATAGAAAAGTTGGTAATCCAGCCCGATAAATCCACGTGATCACATGTTAGGTAAAGCTCACTTGCAGGAATTATTGCAAGCCATGAGAAACCGATGTTTGTCCTTTTGCACTATGTTATATTAAATAAAATACATTTTAGTGAAACATTCTCATATATGAGAATTTAAAATGAAAGGTGAACGTTTTTTTCTCCAGAAGTGGCCAACGACTTCCGGAAAACATGGCCTTAGTGGAATAAGAATGTTCGCTGTTTATACGACAATGGAATCAGTTGGTTGATCTCAGACTATTGAGCAAGATTGTGCACGGATTTGACCAACTTCAAAGACTACCACAAAGACCCCGTTTCCCCCCAAGGCATCCCATTTGAAGTCAATCAACAGATTATTATAATTTTATTTCGTCTCTGCTCAACTACTTAAAGGTGCTACCACTCGGCTATGTCACTGCCCATAAGATGCACTACGGTCAGCTACTCATACAGTGTCCCTCGACAATATGAACAGGGAGCAGAGATTATCATCATAAGCAAGGAAAAACACTGGAAGCTGATACCGCAGAACTACTCCGATATAATGCTTCTACATGTCCCGGCAAAGAGTGTCCATCACAACGAATGATATACGAGTCCCAACAGCTGAAATATGGCAAATTAAGTCAAAAGCCTCACTTACTGTGATGGGGTTCTTTCTGTGTAGTCTTTGGTGACTGGGTTGAGGCTATCGATTTGTTCACTTGGAGCAATGTTGTAATTTAAACTACAGACTCAAATCCAGGATCTCGGTGTTTTCAGCTCAGTGCCCTAACACGGGCATTATAAGTCCCCTAAGCCACTCAGCTACTTATTATCTAGCAATGTGTGTTCCACGCGCAGTACTTTTAGCAGCTTCGTGCCAGTTTGCGTTGTGTTCTTGGAAGGCTACAGTGGAAACACAGAGATAGGCTTGGGGTCATTGATAACAGTCGTCCGTAGCGTATTTCAGTGGCTTGCGTAGCCTTGGGAATTTCTCAAAACATGCGATAGGGCAAAGCAGAGTTGCATGTAAAGCATTTACCTCTGTCTGGAGCATTTCTCAAGAAACAATATGAAAGATTAGCGAAATCTCATCAGCACAATGCTTATGCTACACTCTTGGCAATATTTAAATTACCACATATTAAACACTGGGGGTGCAATAATGCATTGATTCATCATTGAATATCCTTTCTTAAGGCTCACACTTCACGTTTCCAATTATGTTTGCAAGAATCGTGTATTTAATACTCATGCAAATGTTATGAAAATTATATACTGAAGTAACATTTTGGCCAATGGAGCAAACAAAATAAGACAAAAACGACTTAAGTAAAATTAAAGTACCCAATAGTGAAAAACTGTTCGACATGCCGAGGAGTGAATCATGAAGCCCCTACGGAACACATGGGCAACTTACACATAAAGGATTCCACGGATGGCTACAATGTGGTCTAATCTTGTGCCATAAACTGCTGTGGGTGTCTGAAATTCCCTAGAGCTGCCTCTGTGGTCAACAGACATAATTGAGGAGTGTATATGATAGTGTACTCTTTTAAAACTGTTTGTCACAGATGGCACTAGGAATTATAGAAAATAACAACAAACTTTAAATCACTGCTGGCCACAGAAGACTGTGCTGTAAGCGAACCTGCTGGAGTCGACTTCAGAGTTTCCCCCTGCTTAGAGGAGCAATGGGACAGCACTGCTCTCCATTGATGGCCTTGAGCAAGTGGTGGAAATTCCACATTCGCATGGCAGGCGACTAATATTTGTAATCGAACAACATTCGCTCGTGAGGCAAGCTCTCCGATGACAGACACATGATTGCCCTTAACTAATTCTCCAGTATCATGAAGTATGGCCAAACAATTCTAGATTTGATGTTTTCGTGACTGCAAGGATCCATACTCTTTGGTTCTTTCGGTAAAGTCACGTAGGTGAAAATAAAATAGAATAAAAAAATAAAAAATAAAAAAACTGAAAATAAAAATAATGCAATAAAACTGGAAATAACTAAATTTAGTTATTTTCAGTTTTATTTTCACCTACGTGACTTTACCGAAAGAACCAAAGAGTATGGTCAAACAATTACAATGGCTCTTATGATGTAGGGAGACCTTTAGCCGACAGTGGGTTGATACATTTCTGTAGGTTATTACAGCTGTAATTCCTTTGCTAACCCAATAAATGTGTCATTTTTAGCCAATTCCATTCCTGAGTATTTTTAGATGTGGGAGGAAATTAGAATGCCTGATTTAAAAAAAAAAACAGCCACGATTGTGAGATCATAACACAAACGCAGGTACGTTAACAACCTACTTGTTTTACTACCATCTACATGAAGTCAATATATGTATCAAGAAACTGGCCCTACGAATCCCCATTGACGTACCCTCCTGAGAAGAACAAGAAGAAAATATCGAGACTCTGTGACACTTGGTCGGATAAATTTAAAGCGCATTACGATTGACTCGACCGTAATTCGGCCGTTACCCAGCGCTTTACTACCCGTGACCTGTGACCCGAGCAGTGGGAGGAAACAAACGAGACCGAGCCGGCAGGCGACACGTTATGGGCCACAGCTGTGCGCGTGCCGCGCGTGACTCAACGCAGCCGTGGCTGGAACCACGCAAATAAAACGATCGCACCCCGACCAGTTTCAGTGTGGCTTTTGCAATCGCTGAAATGTCCGAGCGCAAACATTGAAACAATGGTACTGGCTAGCTAGCTGGCTAGCTAAAAACCTAGGGCAGTGTTGGAGAGTAACGTTGTAGCGTATTACTCTTCCCCCCCCCCCACCATCACCCACCCCGAACATTAGGTTACTGTAATCAGATTACTCAAGGCAGGCATTGACAATCCATCCCGTATAGTTGTCACTTTGGTTGTTTTCTTTATTACTTACGTGAGGACAAATTGCTGTTTGTTTAGCGTAAACCGGTTGATATGTTTTCAAATGATTCATTTAGTTTTTCAAGATATGACAATTATTTCTTAGGTTAAAATGGAGAAATTATAGGGTTAATGTGAGGTGGGTAACCATTGGATGCTGATCGCCGTGCAAAGTCTCCATTGACAGAACATTTTCCGTTACCTACAATAGTGCGTGCCACTAAATACGTGTTCATTGAAAGACAACGAACAAGAAGCGACCGTGCAATTGGGACTGTATTCAAATAATCAGATTACATTGCAGTACTCAGACAAGCAAGTAAAGAATTATGTTACATTACACGTTACATTTAAGAGTGAGGCATTATCAGAATGATTCCTTTCAAAAGTAATCCTTATAATACTGGCTCAACCCACAATACACTCACACTTGAGCCAGCATATCAGACAACAGTTGAAATGCAGCTCCTGGAATCTTCAATTATGTAGAGTGATATCCTATCAAGTTCACCGTGGTTAAGCTAATGTTAAACACCTTGTGATATTCACTCGAGTAGGGCTGCTAAATAATAAGCATTGTCACTATTTGAATATGGTTTCCAGAGTCTACGCAGTGAAATTAAATGTTAAAAGCCAGATGTACCGCCTGGAGATACACACCAGGTTGGGGTGGTGTATATCTCTATTGCCCGCAGTAATAAGAAAA